GGAGCTTCAGAAAGTTCGTCTTCAGACCTCAAGCGTCTCGCGGAATCATTTCGGGATCAAGGCAATACGCTTGCCGAGGTGCGTGTGTTTTCCTTCAACAAATTTGACCTGAATTTGTTATGGCATTTTCATTGGAAATTTGTTTAGCTACTACTTCCTGTTCTCAATTGTACTTAAGAACAGTATCTAATTTTGAATTTTAAATTTGAAATGTTTTATCGGAGAGAATGATAACTTCCTGAGTTGAATTGAAGAGAAAATAATTGCGCTGCAAAAACCTTGCTGGTGTGTGGTCACCGAGTTTTCATTTATGAATCACACTGGTAATATTCGAAAAAACATCTCCAAATCGTATGCGTTGTTTCTTGCAATGCAACAACAGAAAATCTCCACGAACAATTTGTTCGGAACATCATCAGCCCAAAGCTATAGATACTGTTGAAACAGGGAGGCGGCTTTCTAGGGAAGAGAACTTTGTGTACCACTTTGAAAACAATGACTAATTTTGGATCTTGCATTGGTTTGAATTAAAATTTCTTGCATACTTGACATCTTGATCCTCTATCTCGGGAGAAGCATTTTGATTTGTACATCACTAACACACTGAAACAATAAACCGAACCTAATAGCAAATGAACCCTTGGTTTACGGTGCAAATTATGATTCCAGTATGTGGAACTACACCTCTGAAGCACCATTTGCAGATGATTTGTTTTAGGAAGAAGCCGTTTGCAGCTGTTAAATGAGTAAATTATGGTGTTTATTTTATGTTTGCGGTAACTGGTACTTTTATTTGCCTTCCGTGATTTGAATGGTTTACAATATATGAGATATTGATACAGATGTAAATCATTTATCGAAGAATGAAAAAAGGCACATTAGTGACGCACTTTCCTCTAAAAATTAGGTAATGGGCGAGGGAAACACACGTCTTTGAAAAGCTTACTTATTTCCATTTGTATATTTGAATGCGTTGTATTATACCAGAGGTTTATTAGGAAATCTTTTGTCGAACAAGAATGTTTCCAGTTGAACACGTATCTAGATGATTCAGATCATAGTGACTATTTGGCATTGAAATATTACTATTTGCTTCGGATCATACTGACTGTTTGGTTCATTTCTATTCAAATATGGGCTTTCTCATGAACCTTTGGGTTGGTTTTTACTAGGAGAATCGACTTAAAAATGAAGCCTGTAGGTTATCCTTTGTTTATGTTGCAGTTATAGAAATCGTTCTCAAGCATTGACATTTGGATGTTAAATATTTTGGTTAAACTCCAAGGCCATGTGCTTTTTCTTTTTTCAGAATGGGAAATTACGGGAAGCTCTGGGAAAATGGGAGACTGCTCTTACCTTGATGCCTGAAAATGCAGTTTTACATGAACAAAAGTCACAAGTTCTACTGGAGATTGGGGAAGCTTGGGGTGCTTTGAAGGCAGCAACCAGTATGTTGCTTTCAATTACCTTTTACTGTTTCGATTGTCTAAGATTTTTCATATTGGTCGGTAAGCTCTATATTGAAATAACATAGGTGATCCATGATCGGTCAATAGGGTATATGCATGGTGATATGAACTGGGTTTATTGATCAATGAAGTACAATGTCAAGGGAAGAATTCTAGAGTTTCCCCTCTCTCCCACAAGTTACCTCATAAAATGATCAGAATAAGATACCTCATAAAATGGCATTTTGTTATGATCTGGGTAATTAAGCCATACCTTTTGTTTTTCTTTTTTGTTGTTGTAAGGAACTTGCTTTTCCACATTTTTTTGTTTTTTTTTTTTTAATTTTATACGATGGCCTATATTTGAGTGTTTCATTTAATTCTATTATTAAAATAACATCAAATCTTCATGCCCTTGAAGTTGAAATATCTATTTCTGAATTCTACATTGCAGGAGCTACTGACTTAGATCCGTCATGGGCTGAGGTACAACTAATTCTTAGACTGTCAGTACAATATTAATATATCCTGCTACACCTTTTACTCTATCTTTGAAAACATCGCGCCTTCTTTTTCGTCTTCCATGGGTTTTGTCTTGGGGGATTCTATCCATTTAATTGCCTATTTTCTGTTGGGAACTTGAGTCTGGTATTCATTTGCTCCATATAGTTGGATAGAACCATTTAGATCTATTTCTCTCGTAGACCAATGGCACATTGCTCTATTATGGGAAGTTTACACACACTTATAGATTCAATGTTTTAATACCTTTCTTGGATCTCCCATCCAAGATCAGCTTCTTTTGCATTGGGTGTCTCTAGTAAGCAGTAAACAATTTTCTAGCTGACGACCTTTCCTTCTTGAGCTGATTTGCCGAGAATTTAAACATTTAAATTTCCTCATTCATCGTGCTATTGACCTATGTTCAGTAAATGTGAAGAAGCTAGACTCATTTGTTAGTTTCTCAACTGATTTCTTGTCTCTTTTGATTTTGAATACAATTAGGCGTGGATCACTCTTGGTAGAGCACAGTTAAACTTTGGGGAACCTGATAGTGCTATAGAGAGCTTTGACAGAGCATTGGCCATTAAGGTACAGTGATTTTGCCTGGTTCATCATTTTGTATTTATACTAGTGTTTACACTACGTTCCTTGTCCTGACACGATCGATCTGTCTAGTATACTTGCACGGTCAGTTAAAATCTAGCCTTCATAATAGTATCCCAAAGAAACTGTATAAACGGTGACAGTTTCGATTGTTAATATACCAGCCATTTTGGGAGCTGGGCTCAGTCAAAAGCTCTTGCATCATTTATCGTCCAACCAGCGCCCTCTTCGGCCTGATTGTTCATTACTGAATTTAAAGTTAAGAAACATGATTTATTCCCAAAAGCCCTTATAACTTACGGTCAAAGTCCATTAAAGCTTTGCTCTATAAGACATTGATTTGTTTTCCCGATCCCACATATTTTATGGTGAAGTAAAACTTTCTGTTGTGCACAGCCTGATTCTGGGGATGCCCAAGATGATCGAAAAACTGCAATGCATCTAATAAAGCGGCGAAAGCAGCTCCATTCAGCTGGGTTGAGCAGTTCTGAAAATCGTTATTTTGTGGGAGATAAGTTGAACAACGTTGACGATTTATGAAAGTGTAATCTGAAAAGGAATAGGATGAAGTTTCTAATTTAGGTTCTTAAAGCAGAGCTAGAGTTCCCCCATGGCCAAAAGCAGCGTGTACCTCCTAAATTCATTGAAATCGCAGATAGTCAAGTCCTCTTCTTGTTTTTTTTTTTTTTTTTTTTTTTTTTTTTTTTTTTTTTTTTTTTTTTTTTTTTTTTTTTTTT